CCTCTATACCCCTACGCCCAGTAGCCAGTGGGGCGCCGGGGCCAGAGACGTGGTAAAGTACGCACAGCAGAACTACAGACATACCAGAACTCTCATGATACCTGACCGGAATGCAGACATCTCTACAAGACTTGGGACAACTCTGACTCTTACAATGATCTGAAATTCATAGGCTGGAAAAACCAACCCATAGAACCACAATGTTGTTGTTGTTGTTGTTATGTGCCATGGAGTCAGACCCTCTCATAGAGACCCCTGCTTGGGTTCCTGAGGCGGTATCACTACAGAAGTAGATTGCCCCATCTTCCTTCCGAGAGTGGCTGGTGGGTTTGAACCGCCAGCCTTCCGGTTAGCAGTCAAGTGCCTTAGGCACTATGCTGAGAGGGAATATCTAGGGATAATGAGAAACACCAGTCAGACATGGCTTCTCTTCGAATCTGGCCTCTGCCATTACTAAGTGTATATCCTCAATTAAGTTTCTTAACCTAAGCCTCAGTCTGCCCATAAGTCAAGTGAGGACAACACTACCTAATAAGGTTGTTGTGAGTAAATGAGATGATGTACATAGTGATATCTGCTAAATGATAATGTTGTTGTTGTTGTTGTGTGCCGTTCAGTCGGACGCGACTCATAGCGACCCCTCCTTGGGTTGCCGAGGCAGTATCACTACAGAAGTAGATTGCCCAACCTTCCTTCTGAGGAGTGGCTGGTAGGTTTGAACTGCCAGCCTTCTGGTTAGCAGTCAAGTGCCTTAGGCACTATGCTACCAGAGCTCCTAAATTATAATAGTAAGTGATCAATAAAAAGTAGCTATTATTTTGATCTATTAATTTTATAAATATGAAAACTAGGAGAAGAGATTTTCCCAAGAATATATGATTGGTTAGGTGACAAAGTCAAATAAGTCTAAAATTCCAGTTTCTAATCTGGACTAGTCCAAGACACATAGGATTGACTTCTCCACATAAATATCCTCCCTTCCCCCCATAACACTCAGGACCAACAGACTAGTTATTTTTGTCTGATTTCTGTCTTAGAATATAAATTCCAAGAAGACAGGGTTTTTGGTTTGTTTTGGTCTATTTTGTTCACTGCTGTGTCCACAGCACCTAGAACAGTAGGGTCTGGCTAATATATAACAGAAATGCAAATACCTAAAGAATTATCCTCTATAATATCTGATTATCAGTGCATTCATCTCTCAATCATCCTCTTTTAGCAAACATCATAGGATTTGGGAACACTTAGATTCTGTTCATTAATTGGTTGCAATTTCTAATTCAAGAAAGAATAAGGGGAAGAATATGTATTATATTCCATTTACTACTTTAAGTTTTCTTAATTTCAGTATAACACTTCCATCAGACATTTTCATTTCCAAACTCACTGCCAGCGAGTTGATTCTGACTCACAGAGACCCCCTTTGGGTTTCCTAGGTGGTAAATTTTTAGGGAAGTAGATTGCCCAGTCTTCCTAGCTGTCAAATGCCTTAGGCACCACGCCATAGGAGTTCCTATTTACCTTATGTCTCTAAAATGTTTTTGTATCACTTATGAGAATGTTGGGGAAGGCGGGGCATGGAGACAGCTACTATATCCTTAAGTCACTTTCTCTTATTTAACATTTTAATCACCTTTCTTTATTAAAATTAACAATATTGCCCTTTTCTGCTAAAATATAACTTCAAAGATATTTTCCTAATTGGTCAAAAATGTTGTAAATACTGTTTTCTTGGTAAATAACTTGATTTCTACTTCTTGTTAGGTGCCATCAAGTTGATTTCAACTCATAGTGACCCCATGTGACAGAACTGTCCTATAAGGTTTTCTAGGCTATAATGTTTTGGGGAGCAGATTGGCAGCTCTTTCTTCTACGGAGTGGCTAGGTGATTTGACCCACCAAGCTTTAGGTTAGCAGCCAAGTGCTAAACCATTGCACCACCAGGGCTCCTTAGAATTTCTATTTACCCTAAATAAAAAAACTCATGCACAAAAATAATTTTATCAATTATTAAAAAATGAAGTAAACCAAACAAACCAATTGTACTGTCCTCGAGTCGGATCCGACTCATAGAAACCCTTTCTTGGGTTTCCGAAACGTCATTTAAAATACAGTGAAAAACTGTAAGAGCCAGAACACAAAGGGATTCTCTTGTTTTTGCAACTCTAGGAAGTTTTCCACCTTTGAAAAGATGCTATCTTACTACTTTTCCATTACTCGTGTTAGTAGAAAATATTTTTGTTTTTCTTCTCTGACAGGTTTCCACCTTACAGTTTCTGGTTTTCACAGATTTTACTGAATCTGCTTTATTTAGAAATCCAGTAGCAGTAACACTGGATTTCTAGACCTAAATGATTAAGTTATATGAGTTAATACAGTCACTTAATCTGAATTGTAATTTTTTCAGTTATCTGTCTTCCCTAATATATGGCAAATTCTCTAAGGGTGAATATCTTTGTTGGCACAGAACAGATGCTTAATAAGCATATTAATTAAACTAAATGAGTATATTCTTTGTTATAATCATTCCTTTTCTTACCCGTTTTTTTATTTCACTGAATTCCTCCATATATCTCAAATTCCCAAAGTAACTGTCTAATGGCTGAAGCTTAGGCCCTCTTAGCACTGGCACAGTAGTTTTCCTAATGATATTAGCTATGGGCCTATTGTCTCTGTAGTGTCACATCTTTTGGGTCACCGTTGTAGTCTGGAAAATACCCACAGCAGAATTTCTAGTTAGACAAGAGTTTAACTTTACCTCAGTTAGCAATGAAATTTTGGTATTTGTGAAGTTGCTAAGTGTGGGAGGCAGAGTTTATTTAATCACCTAAACAAAGGAGGGAAAAATCCTCAACAAATGTTAACTTTGTTTTTGCTTTAACATTCTAATGATTCATTTCTTCTGAAAGCTGTTCTTAAACATTTAAAAGCATTTTAAATTACAAATTAATACATGTACTAATTATTCAATAATATATAGAACCTCTCATCATTGTCTCTCTTTTAATATCTCTTCCAAACCTAAGTTTTACAAGCTTGTATCCAAGATTCTATATAGTCACGTTCCTAGTAAATGTAATAAAGAAGCTCTTAACATATGCATTAATATCCGTAATATAAACTTTGTATATAATACAATAAAGTTTTATATCCTTTAATAGTTACACCTACTACCAAAGTTTACTGTTATGTGTTAATGAGTAATACACTAATCATGCTATAGAGAAGCATTACTTGAAAAATAAGATGTAACCAATGTCACTGAACAATATGTTAAATTGTTAAATGGGAACCTAATTTGCTGTGTAAATTGGCACAAAAAATGCAATATTTTTAAAAGACATTTTTTAAAGCTTACAAGTAAATAAAAGACAGTTATTACCAAGTATCATTACTTTTCAGCATTTTGTCCTGCAAATTTTCCAAATATAACCCAGGCTAACAAGGGAAAATATGTGTTTCATTTTCCATTTTAAGATTACAATAGAGGATAAGGAAAATTCTCCCTCTTCCTTGTTATTTTTCCTCCAGTTTCTTTGGCTATATGGTATATAGTCAACAAAGATAAACCAAGCTCAATTCTTAATGGGCTAATATTAAGTACATACATGCTTTAAAGCATGTATTTCTTGTACTTGTAGCCAAATTTAAACTATCAGTGAAAACATAGTACACCTAAAAACTTGATTAAACTGAAATTTGTCTCAATTTTGAGCAACAAATGAGTATAATAAACTCAAAAGTTATTAAAGTATTTGAAATAAAGTCTAAGTACTTTCAAATTTTTCAGAATCATTCATTGTAATTTATATCCAAATTACAAAATTTTAAAATTTACTACAATCAATCATAAAGTCCTCCAGGAAGACAAGTGGGTATATTTGAAAGTAACAAATCCTTCTTTCAATAATTATTCAGACAATATTTATTCAGACTTTACACTAACAATCCACTTTTCCCCAATTTATCTAAATTTGGTTAGTTATTAGCTGATTACCCAAATCCATTAAGTGTGCTATATGGAGGAGAAACAAATGGTTTTTATCATGACTTTTTATTCAGTAAACTAAACACAGGAACTTTAAACCAAATGCAATATATATCAAGCTATGCCCAGAATCAAAATAAAAATGGGTCACAGCTTAAAATTACAGCACTGCCTTTAATAAAAAGTGTTCCCTTCTCACTGCAAATAACGCGGCACTGCTATAGTGTCCCGAACCTGTTGCTGGAACAGGGCTTGTGTATATGAATGCATGCAATGTACACATTTCTCAAATGCAGAGTCACCTAGTGAGTTCGACAAGTGGATAGAACTTTGTACACTCTTAGCAGGTGACTTAAAACTTGGTAACAAGCTTTCATAAGAAACTTGAAATTAAAATTTTCCCCATGAAAAGAAGAAAGAGGTGCAAAAGTCAGCTTTCTAAAAGAGTCAATCTTGCTAGGGGCACTTGGAAGGGCTCAGCTAAGTTGATCAAAAAAGGTCCCAGGCAAACTGCGCAACAGCCTGAAGGCGAGGACTGAAACTTAGTCTTCTCCACCCTAGTTCCACTCGGTTATTTCCCGAGACTCGGTACAAGAGGCCAGGGCAGGCGTTTTCTGCGCGCAGGCAATATTTGCCGGGAGAGCTGGGCTTAGAATCAGCAATTTGCCCAGCTACTTGTCCCTGTTGTGTGGCCCCTTTCCTTCTCTCCCTCAAGGCCGAGAACAGCGACGTCCTCCTTCTCCTCCTCTTTGGTGTCTCCAGCCAGGAGGCGGGAGTGACACAAAGCAGCTGACCCAAACCTCTCCCACTGCCCACAGGAGCTACCATGGGCCCAGAGGCGGGTTTGCAGCACAGCAGAGACGACGCAGGTGGCGGCCCCGGCGACTCTCAACTTCCTCCCTGACCTTCGCAACCACCGCTCAACACCCCGAGAAGCCATCACCACCACTGGTAGGAAAATTAAGGCTCCCCGAAGCCACCTTCGCAATTGACTAGAGAAACGTCAACAACTATGGCGGGAGAGGGGCGGTGGCTAGAGCCTGTGAGGGAAGGATGGTGGGTATATGTCACGCCCAGAGCCCCCCTGCGGGAGGGGAGGCGCCGGCTCTCTCAAGATGGTGGTGGCGGTGGCGCGCCAGCGTACGGAACCCCTTCTCCGTCGCGCCACGGCCGGCGGGAAGTGAGGTTCTCAGAGGAGCCGCCAGAAGTGTACGGCGACTTCAAGCCCCGGGTGAGCATGGAAAGGCCTCCGGTGGGAAGACGATACCCGCCAGAAGAGTTCCGGCCTGATTCTGAGAAAGAGGAAGTGAAAGAAAGCTCTTACTACCTTCGGTCTCGGCAACCGAGGCAGCCACGACCCCAGAAAACCACGGAAATGAAGACACGAAGGGCCACTCGCCTGCAGCAGCAGCAGCAGCACTCAGAGCAGTCTCTGTTACAGTCGTCTCCGGTTATGACCAGGAGAGGGTTACGGGACTCTCATTCCTCTGAAGGTGAGGACGATGGAGGTAAAGTCTCAGCCGCTATCCAGGGAGCGCGCGTGGGGTCGGAGAGCGCGCGGAGCGGTGTGCTGCGGCGGCGGGCGGGCGCCTTCTCATAGCTTTTCCAGGCCAGGATATCAGTAGCTCCTCGGCCTACAGTAGACGTGCGCTAGCACGGGGTCCGCCCGGATCCGCTGGCGGGAAAAGGTAGCGAGGTTGAAAGGGACGCAGGCGAGAGGGCGGCAAAGGAGGTCGAATGGATCAGAAACGAAAAGCTGCTACTCATCCCTGGGCATCAGTTTAGGGGAGTCAGAGTTGCCTCTTTGTGGAGGCCTCTACGAGGGGACAGCGAGTTAGGCTCCAGTCGGTACCCGGAATCATTACAGTCTCGGTTTCATTTTGGTCCCCTCTGCCCTGCCTGTGTTTCTACCGAAGCCGCTTCCATTTCCTTTAACTTTCAGAGGCCAGAAGTCCCCAGCCGAGAATCATGGTTCTAATCTAACCTTCCAGTCTTTTTACATCTTCATCCAGGTGAGGGGAGAGAGGGAGGAGAAATTTGACAGCATGTGTGTTGCCAGAGCTAACGGAGTTGCCACCCAAATCCTTACACCTAAATTGAGTAGGTCAGTTATCCTGTACTGAACTTCCCCAATGCCTGATAAATTCAAGTTCAAGTATGCTGATCTCTGCCAAAATTCGCCGCGTTAGAAGGGGCCCTCAGATTAGCCTCGGTGGTTAAGCAGCCTGACAAAGCAAGACTGTTAATTAGGAAGTTTTCTTCTAAAAGGGCCAAAAGGGTGCTGGCGGTGTGTGTCGTTTTGGTAAGTCACAGGTGAATCAATTCCCTTAACCCATTCTCTCAAGCCCTACCTGTGGGGATTTAACACTGAGTCACAGATGAAGTTTCATGATAGCCTCACATAAGTCACGCATGAAACAAAAATGGGGGGGGGTGAGTCACAATGGGATGACATGAGTGGTAGACCATTGATGGATATGAAGAGGTGGTGGATTTGTAGTTTAGAGCAGAGTAATAGGCTGCAAGTGTACCTGCTGACACATGAAGTGCTGACACATTTGAAGACTTGATTTTGGAAACTGCATGTTAAAGATAATGTAAGTTACTTGAGCCCTTGTAAATGTTACTTTTATCTTTTTTTAAGATTATAAACTTTGTGAAGATAAGGATCCTAACATATTTGAAGGATCATGTTATACTTCAGCACTTGAGCTAATTCTGTATCTCTTTCAGTACTTAGGAGAATGGTTTACACATAGTAGACAACAAATACATGTTACATTGCATTGATTCACACAGTTGCCTACTGCTAACTTTTTTTTTGTTTGTTTTAACTACTGCGAAATTTAGTTCTATTTTAGTAGATATGTAAGGATCTAAACATTTTTCACTCTTCTGCTTTCTTCCATATCATTTTTGATGATTCTAGCCTATGTTTTTTAGTTTTCTGAAAATATATTTTTCTTGTAATGTGAATAATTTATTTTTAAAT